TGAAGCCAAGTGAAGGATGACAACAGATTCAGAAGAACTGGAGGGCAGGACAAGATGGCATAAGGAGCATCAAGTCCTGCAGGAGTTCGGAAGAGAGTTTCCAGCTGGGTGAGAGGATCTGGACTGGGCCTCCGCGGCCAGTGAGTGCGGTCCAGCACCTGGCCTTCAAGTGCAGTGTGGTGGTCTTCAAACACGTGCTCTTGCCGTAGAGAGGTGTCTCCTGTGGTCTGTCCCTGAAACCAGGTGTGCTGTGGCTGCTTAGACCACAGCAGGGCCCACTTGTCGATTTGGCACAGCAGGCATGGTGCCCAGGGCCCATACTTTTAGGGCTCATGAACATGTTTTAATTTCTTTTAAAATCAAAGGAAAGAAGAATTTGATAATAATGAATCCAGACTGGATTACATTTAAATAACATAGTCATAAAACGTAATCTTAATATTTCTTTGGAGGAAGGGGCCCATGAAGGCAAGAATTCCGAGGACCCTAAAAAGTCATGAGGTGGTCCTGCCAAGTGAGTGTGATGGGAGCGATGCCCTGTGACTTCTGAAGCTGGGTCAGCAAAGGCCACACAGCTTCCGCATGGTTCTCTTAGGACGCTCCCAACTGCCCCGAGTTGGCCTTGCTGGAGAGGCATGAGGCCCATCAGTTGTGGGCATGGGAGCCAGCCACCTCGGACATCCAGCTCAGCTCAGCCCTCAGAGGACCAAAGACAGATGGCAACCACACGAGGGGCTCCAAGCCAGAACAGTCCAGTGGAACTCTCCGCAAATTTCTGGTCCACAAAACAGTGACCAAAATAAATGGTTTATTTGAAGCAGGTACATTTTGGGCTAATTTTTTGCAACATAATTCTAACCAGAACGTTCAGCCAGGGAAGGGAGCTCAGAGGCTGGTGCTCTCGCAGGGTGACGAACAGATCGGTAGGTCCTGATCCCAGCAACTCCCGCAGTTTGGGTGAGTTTTATAAGAAACTGGGTCACTGACTCCTGATAGCCCATCTAGTCATTGAGAGCCCGGTGCGCAGAAGGAAGGAGACAGGAGTGTGCACTGCCTGTGGCAGTGGGGTGCTGCTGGGAATTTGAAGTTAGGAGCAACAGAGCTGTGCTTTACAGGGATTACTGTGGTGTGGAATAAAGATGGATTGGTGGGGGTTTGGGGAGGGGCACGGAGAAGGTGGGGAGACATCAGCAGTGGAAGCCAGTGCCTAGGACAGAGTTCTTGGGTGCAAACCACAGAAACGACATCCAGCCAATTTACGCAGCAAAGGAGTTTACTGAATGGCATCGTTTTTTTTTTCCCAACTGATGCAAGGCTGGAGAAAAAGAGCAGGGCCATGGTGGGCCAGGCATCTGTGAACGAGGCCGGATCCTGCCAGGGAACAGTGGGGAGGGTGCCAGGGTATGCAGAGCAGCCACTGGACACTCACCACTGCTACTGTACAAAAATCTCCACCTCCCCCTCGCTCCCTGGGTGGCGGCCATAGGGGACAACTGAATTGCCAGGGAGTGGGAAGAGAAAGCATCTGCTCCCTTGTTTTTGTAGGGACCATCTCTGTAGGACACCCCAAAACTGAGGTTTGGATACTGAGTAGCCCAGACTGAAACATAAGTTCTACTCCAGCAAGTGAGAGCTTGGCCTGGTCCCAGTATGGCGATGGGCAGGGAGAGGGGACAGTGGCTATGCGAGGATTTGAGGAGGGACTTGGGGTAGCTGGTGGCCCAGAGTCAGGCTTTAGCCCCACAGTGTTTGGGTTCAAATCCTGGCTCTGCCACTTGGCAGTGGGACTGGCAGTCGGCACTTTATGTGACTATTTGACTTCCCTAGGTCTTTGCTTCCTCGCCTGGAAGACATGGACACTAACTGTATCTACCCTACTGTTGTGGTCAGGAAGAATCGTGGGCATTTTGATAAGGTGTTACAAAGGTAGCTGTCCACAGGAAGACTCCCAGAGGTGTCAGCTGTTGTTTTACTCATTATTTTCAGTAACTGGAGGTAGACCTGGGGGGGGGGACTGAGGAGTCAAGGATAACACGTGGGATTCTGTTTGGGCCGCTGGGAGTGGAGGTAAAGAAGACTTGGGGAGATGCAGACCTGAGGGGGAAGAGGATGCTTTCGGCACTGGTGGCTGCGTTTCCGTGCTTCTGGGAGACTCTGGGACAGATGTCCAGGAGGCCATAGGAGCTATGGGCCTGGGCTTCAGAAGCACATCCCAGGCTGGATCCAGGTTTGGGAGTTCTTGGCAGGCAAATGGTGACTGCACCATGGGATTCCATGTGAGGGAGAGAGAAGGGTGCTTCAAGGGAGCCCGGAAAACACCATGTGTCAGTCTGGGTTTCCTCAGAAGACTCTGAGTCTAGCACTCCAGGATCAGTTGTTTATCTGGGAGATGATTTTGGGCGACACCAGTACGGGTGTGGGGAAGCAAGATGGGAACAGGTCCCTAGAAACAGCAGAGACAGGGTCTGGATGCATGAGCTTTATTGGGGTAGAGAGGGCTCAGGGGTGAAAGAGGCCAGAGAGGAGGGGAGGAGGTGCGCAAGGATCTGCCCGTAAGGCCAGTTGAGCCTTGGCCTCATCCATGAACAGAGAGGGGTTTGGAGCAGAAATGGCTCTGCAGAGTGTAGCTGTTGAGGCAAGGGAGCAGCCCCCTCTCATGCCTCATGTACCAGCAGATGAACCATGTGTGTGGGTGGTGTGGCCCGGGTTAGGGGCTTCTGTTAGCAGAGGGTAATTCTCCAGGTTAGGGGAAAAGGTGAGCTGTTAGCAGCCTACATTGAGGTGGTCGGCAAGAACCCAGGAAACGGGGTCTGGGCAGGCTGCCCACAGCACTTAGGAAGAAAGCAGTATGGGATGTGATAATCAGCAACTAATTGATGCACAACCCTGCTGGGGGCCTCTGAGAGGAAGACAGGAATGCATGCCCAAGTTAGTCCACTCCAGACCTGGGCTGGGGTATTTATACTCCAGCTCCTGCCAGTCTCTTGTCCAGGGCTTCTCGGACGTGTTTATCCTTAGCAACCCTTGCTAGTGGGCAATGTGAACTCTGGAGACCAGAGAAAGTTCCAAGGCGAAGATGTGCAGGTGTGGACACTGGAGGCCAGGCAAGCCCGGCAGTGGCACAGTCAGAGTAGGAGACGTGGACAGGGCAAAATAGCATCAGCTACAGCCACCTTTAAATGGACACAAAAGCAGCCGAGAAGGAGCAGAGAGGAGGGAGGAAAATCAGAAGAGGAATGGAGCCACAGGACTCCTTTGTGCAGAAACGGCGATACATTCTATTCACGCGTGTGCATCCCACTGCTATTGTATCTGTAATTTCTAGGGCCAGTCTGGCTAGGGGAGGCTCCGAAAAGCCCAAGGCGGGTCTCTGCTGAGCCGCTCAAACCCGGTCCAGTCTCAGTCTGGCTCAGCGAAGAGCTGGGAGGCGCGAGGGGCTGGGGCGAGTGGAGCGCATATGCGTGGTTGGCGACAGAGAGGGCCTGGAAACCTTCCCTGGAAAATAATGAGCGGAGAAAGCCTCACTGATTAGTTAAACCCCGGATAATCCTGGCTGATGAAGGCAGATCCGGACCCCTTAACGGATTTAGGGTTCCAAACGGGTCCGGGTGGTGACTTGGGGCGGGGCCGCTCTCGAGGGCTGGCTCTGGTGCAGACTTGTCTGTGGGGGGCGGGGGGGGGGGAGGGCTGGGAAGAGCCTGCCTCCCCCCTGCCCGGGCGTGGAGGACTTGCCCAAACGTGGGCGCCCACTGCATGGTCCAGGCATCTGCCGGGCGCAGGTGACGCGCGAGCGGTGGGTGGCTCCGGGGCCCGCTTCCTCGCTCCTTCTCAAGTCTCCTGAGCGGCTGGAAGCCCTTCCCCGACCTGGGCCAACGCTAAGAGAAGCGCTTCGTCCTGCCCGCGCCGATGCGTCCCATCCGTCTGAGCCGAGGATCTGAGCTGATCCCGCAAAGTCCGGCGCTGGAGTGGACGCTCGACCCCCGCAGCAGCGGGGGGTGGGGGGTGGGGGGCATGGACTGGCGCGGCGGGAGTGGGATGGTGGAGGAGAGGCGCTTTCTCACTGGGGAGGGGCAGTGAAAGTGCCTGCGCTCCCGCCGCCGGAAGAGGCCCCAGGGTTCAGCTCTCCCCGCACCCTGGTCTTGCCAGCGCCTTCCTGAAGATGGGGCGGGAGGAGGTGTTAGGAACTCCTCTAAACAGGAATTGCAGAGTCCCCTTAGAGCTCCAACCCGGGCTCCTTCTCTCCGGTCTCTGCTTCGCTTTCCTGGTTTCTCTCTCCCTGTCCGGTGTGAGCGGGTTAATAAGCTTCAGTTTCTTTCATCTGCAAAATAGGTTTTGTAAGATCCCTCCGAAGGGTTGGAAAGCTGTGTGTTCTTGGCTCTGCGCGGCGCTCACCGTGTGGGGTGGCCCAAGTGGGGCTCCTCTCGCCTGGCCTTTCGGTACCTCAGGGTCCCTGGCCATCTATTTGCGGGCTGTCCTCTCGGTGAGCTGCTGCCTCCACTGGCACAGGCTAGGGGACGGAGTCTCCAAGACCCTGCCCAGGTGTGGGGGCGCCGTCTGCGTTCGGCCGCGAAAGCCGGTGAACCGCCTCTGAGACCCTCCGCTTGCGAATGACCCGGGTTGGGCCACCTTAGGGCCAATTGTCCTGCCTGCCCTGGATTCGGTCGGTAAATGTGTGGATCGCTAGGTTTCCTCCTTAACTGCAGCCCCCAATTCTCATCTACAAACGACTACTCCGCCCGGCAAAGAGCCGGAGCACGTAGGCGGGTCCTGTGCTCCCCACGCCTTCGCCTGAAACTCAGAGAGAAATTTGGGGAGAAATCCCTGGCGGAGCCAAAAAACGACGCCCAGCGTCTAAAGCCGCCCCCGGACCGGGAGCAATTCACAGAGCAATTATCCCAAAGGAAAGTTATTGTTTTGCTAATCCCGAGAACAGCTTGCGAGGGGAGATTTGAGTCTTCCTCTAATAATGGAAAGTTAAGACCTAGTCTTGCAATTATCTTTATCGGAAGCCCCTCGTTTAATCTGCGTGGGTAGCAGAGGGCCGGCTCCAAGGCGCCGCGAGCCGGAGACCCGCTTGCTGAGTCGGGCTCCGGGCCGGGCGTGCGCGCCGCTGGCGGCGCGGCTGGCCTGGGCGAGCGGCCGCCTCCCGCGGGGTGACCTCAAACTGCTGGGCCGTCAGGAGCTGCGACCGAAGAGATTCTGCTTCGGGGGCTCTGTGTTTGAGAAGGGTGGGCTCAGGGCTCCGGGCGATTCGGGTTGGGCGGGCCCAAATTTGCCGCACGCGAGCCCAGGGCGGCTCACCCCCGTGCTTGGGCGCCAACGTTAACAAATATGGGCTTTTCACGTGAAAATCAGGCTCTCTTTAAATAATCGTTAAATCGGACAATAATTTGTTAGCCTCTGTGAAGAGAGGTGGGTCCCAGCAGACAGGCCCTTAATTTCCAATTTACTGCTCTCCTCCCCTTTAGGGTTGCCAGATAAAATAGTGATACATATCATACTAAAATTGTATGTTTATCTGAAATTCAAAGTTCACTGGACCTCCTGTAATTTAGTTTGCTAAATCGGGCGCCTTTTCCCATCACTCTCCTCCCGTCTCTCTCTCTCCTCGTTCTTCCCCCGGCTGGTGTGGATTTTGCGACCCCCTACAGACCCGCCGTTAGAGCCCTGGGGGATGGACTTGGCTGGAGGAGGAGTGGGCACGGATTAAATAAACGGGGATTTTCGGGGAAGGCCCTCGTGGCTCCGCAGGTGAGGTTGGAGGTCTGGCGGGGGTCATACTGGTGGTAGCAGTGGGAGTGTGGCTGGGAGTGGGGCCCTAGATCTTAATGCGCGGCTGGAGGGTGGGAGGGAGGCTTCGGGGCAGCTGTGAGCCGGGCTGCCACCCAGAGAATCTGGAAGGGAATCTGGAACCTGCGGCTTTTAGCTGACCGGCAGATAGCGAGGTCGCTGTCTCCTCCCTGCTTGGCTCCCACCGAAAACCGGGGTGGGGGTGGGCGGGGGGACAGCTGGAGAGGAGAGGGGAGAAGGAGGAGACTGCAGCTGGGAGGGCGGCAACCGAAGGGAGGGGAAGTGGTGGCGTCCCCATCTCGCGGGGTCCGGAGCAACGACGCGTCCGCGCCGGGCTGATTGGAGCCCTCCTGGCCTTCCGGGCCCGACGGGAGGTCCAGTCGTATAAAGCGCCCTCTGAGCTGAGCTCCCTCTGCAAAGGTGACCTAGGGAGGGTCAAGCCTAGCCGACTAAGAAGCCATGACGGGCCGGGACGCGCTTTCCGACGGGCGCTCCAGGAGCAGGGCGCTGGTGCCTGGTGGCTCCCCCATCGGTCCGCGCCCCCGAGGCTTCGCCATCACTGACCTGCTGGGCCTGGAGGCTGACTTGCCGTCGCCTGCCGGCCCCGGGCCGGGATCGGGCTGCGAGGGCCCGGCGGCCGCGCCCTGCCCGGGTCCAGGGCTCGGCGGCCCCTGCCTGGCGCGTGGGGCCCTCCCGCTGGGGCTCGGCCTCCTCTGCGGCTTCAGCGCGCGGCTGCCCGTGGCCGCTCGGGCGCCCTGCCTGCTCCTAGCCGATGTGCCGTTCCTGCCGCCCGAGGGGCCGGAGCCTGCTGCCCCGCAAGCCCCGAGCCGCCCGCCTCCCGCGCTGGGCCGCCAGAAGCGCAGCGAGAGCGTCTCGACGTCCGGTAATCAGGCCAGGCCAGCCCATCCCGCCCCTGCCCCTGTTCCCTCGGCCTTGGGCCGTGCAGGGGTAACACGCCGTCGCCCCCACCCCCAGCATCCCAGATCTAAAGGCAGCCGGGACCCTGGAGCCTGGCCCCGTCGGGGGAGGCGTGTTCTCGCAGCAGCATCCCCTGCCCCTTGCCTCTGCCCATCCCTCCCTCTCCTCCGGGATCTGGTCGCCGCAGCCTTGCGGATAACAGCGTCACCCGGCCCCGGACCTACCTGGGGATCTCGGCGACCCAGCAGCAGTTACCCGAGGGCCTTTCCGCCAGCGCCCCGCGCGACTCTCGGCCTCTGGGAACGGCGTAGGTCGGAGGCCTGGGCCGGTCTTGTTGGCCAGCAGCACAGAACCCTGTATTGGCCGGCGCTCAGACGTTTTCTGAAGTGATTGAATGATTGACAGGTCCATGGAGGTCGGGAGGCCTGGAACTGTCCGTCTCCCGGGGTGCTGAAAAGGGAGTCCGGGTACCGTGCTTTTCTCCTCGCGCCGCCCTCGCTCCTCCCCACACGTGAGAAACAACCTCGCCAATTTCACTGTAATTATGCTCAGTGTTTTGTCGTGAGCCCGCCTATTTCCTCAAAGAAGTCGAGGTGGATTATGGGGAGACAGAAGGAAGCAATGAAATTCCGTAAAGGACAAGGGCCAAGAAATCAAGAGTTTTGGGTGTGGGGAAGAAAATGGAGAATTACGCAAGAAAACGTGAACTGAGAGAAACTATGTAGTAGAACCTAGAGCCTAGCATCCAGACAGCCAAGGCAAAAAGAGTCCGCGAGGCCTCCACTAATAATACGAGGGTGCATGCCAGAGCATCAGGCAAGCGGGCTTTCATCCTTTTGGAGGACTTTATTTCACGAGTCTTCGTGGAAGATAAAATGGATCCCCCTATTAGTTGTCTCACTAAAAATGCAGACCCACCTTCATAGGATGGGTTCTTTCCTTTGTGAGCACTGATTAAATGAAAGGCAAAATGCAACTACATCCTAGTCTGTGAGGCCATTTCTGGGAGATCAAGAGCAACACTATCCAATAGAAATATCACGCAGTTGTGAGTGCAATGAAAATTTCTCAAAGCCATATTAAAAAGGAAAAATAAACAGGTGAAATTAATTTAAATACTATATTTTATTTAATCCAATACATATAAAACATTATCATTTTACATGTAATCAATATAAAAAGTATGAATATTTTACTTTTGGGGACGTCCTAAGTCTTCTAAGTGCACTGACTATTCTCCAGTTGCAGTCGGGCTCAGTTTGGACGGGCCACATTTCACCTGCTCAATAACCTTATGTGTCTAATGGCACCAGCCTGGACAGCACGGATATTACAATATTATAATCCAAGCATACAGTTTTCTAGTGAGCTAACCGATGTAGGAGAAAAACTAATAGTGTCTTATTATTTTTGCCTTTATTAATTTTTTTTTTTTTGTATTTTGAAGCACATATACTTTTTAACAGTGAATCTGACAAGAGTTTAGTCTTCTAACCTTCTGGCCTGTGATATAATGAATATCGAAGGACAAAGCATAGTGGAGCAAGGCTCCTAAACATTTCCAAGTGCGTCTATGAGTCATCTGGGTGCACTTGTCGAGAATGAGGCCCTGCACTCTGTGCCCAGAGATTCGGAATTGGTACAGAGGGGCAGGAAGTGCAGTTCTGAGAGAGGTTCTGATGTCACAAACCTCAACCCTCCCTTTGAGAAATGCTGGTATATTGGCTAAGAGGAGGACGTTGGAGGCAGAAGGTAGCAGATGAATTTGGGAGCCCAGTGGGATTAGGAAATGCAATTAGCGGCCAAGTAGCCTTGACTTCACACAGTCTGGGGTTTGAATCCCAACTTCATCATTTACTACCCACGTGATTTGGGGAAAGTTACTTAATCTCTCTGTGCCTCGGTTTTCTCCTCTGCAAAAATATAATAATAATAGCAGCTACCTTGGAGTTCTTTTAATTTATGAAGAATAACTGCAGTAATGCATGGACAGTGCTGAGCACCATACCTGTAATATAGTGAGTGCTGCAAATGCTAGCTTGTATGGGTCAATACTCACATTTCCTGACAGGTCCATAGCTTCAATCCTCAAATGAAAAATCCAGAAAATAAAAGGAAAAGTGTGCTCACCTTTAAAGTCCTCTCTTTCTCCTTGTGCTAACAGATGAGGACAGTCCGTCTGAAGACAGGAGTGAACTGAAGGCATCCCCCACCCCAAGCAGGAGGAAGAGGCGGCGGCACAGGTATGGGGCCAGGCTGTCTTCCCTGACCCCTTCCTCGGGACTCAGCATCTGAAAATGCGTGGCTCTGCGTTACGGCAGGCCTAGCGGCCAACTGGTTGGCAGTGGGAAGGGAACAGTAGCCATTTAAGAACATATTTCTGTAGTTCCTGGGAGGCTGCAGGACAGTCTTTGTAGCGCTTTATAGACACAATTTTGTGTCTTTAAATGGGTCTTAGAATGAGTTGATGGAATTCATTGAGGAGAAAAAAAGAGCTAAAGAACTCTGTATTGTTTGAACTGAACTTCTGTACTTTCCAGAGGCTAACCAAAGGTAGGATGCTCAGCTATTAGGAGGTGGCCTTTTGGGGTGTGGACAATGGGAGAGGCAGGCACAGGGGTCCTCTAGGCTAGGAAGCCTGTGGCCTCCTGTGGACATGTGCCCACGTGTGTTTTGGGCCTCCCTGCAGGACTGTTTTCACTGCCCACCAGCTGGAAGAGCTGGAGAAGGCATTCAGCGAGGCCCACTACCCTGACGTGTATGCCCGGGAAATGCTTGCTGTGAAAACTGAGCTCCCTGAAGACCGAATACAGGTGTCTTGGGTCCCCTTTCTCCTTTCCAAAGACATCATAGAGAACATCTTACCCTCACGTGCAGTGAGTCAACCCACAGCCACCTCTGAACAGCTCAACACATTCCCCTTCACAGCAAACTGAGGGTCATTTAGATGCAAGCACCGCTCTGCTAGAACCTTCCTTTATGTTTATTCCCAGAGGATATCCCCGGTAACTCTCACGCCTTTTTTCCTTTTGTTAAATCATTCTTAAAAACTACACAATAATGTGTGCTGCAACTAGAAACTATATAAAGATATATCAGTGAAAAAAAATGACTATCCTTCCACTACAAACCCTTAAAGAAACCAATATAGACGTGCTGATGTCACCTTTCTACATACCATCTCCATGTCAGACATTTATCTGCCCCCCAAAATGGATATATACATAAATACACACACACATGTAGAATTTTGTTCTTTGTTTTTACAAAAAGGAGTATCACATGTTACTCCTTAGTCTCTTCACTGACAACACATCTTAGACGTTTGTCCGGGTCAGAAGATATGCCACTAGAGTAACTCACTCTTTTTTAACAGCTGAACAATATTCGATGCTACTCTTTAATGAAGATAATGCAATCCAATAACCTGAGATTAGAAGGGGCCGTTGCCAGGTGAACTATTTCCCATCAGTGTGGAAAATGGGCTTCTTTACACAATGTAGGAATATTTAGATTTGATTTTTGTCATTCCTGACTCTGTGGACAACCTCAGTGGAAAGTGGCCACGCATTACCCCACCCTGTGAGTTTTGAGTGAACGGTGGCACAGCTCCTGAAAGGTCTGGGTCATAGATGCCACCCCGAGTGGATGGTCGGCCCTTTGTAGAGCCCTGAGCTACAGACACCTCTAAGCATCCTTCTTCACTCTGTCTTCTCCTGTGTGCCTCTCTGCTTCCCTCTTGCCTCAAACCAGGTCTGGTTTCAAAACCGGAGGGCCAAGTGGCGCAAACGGGAGAAGCGCTGGGGCGGCAGCAGCGTGATGGCGGAGTATGGGCTCTATGGGGCAATGGTGCGACACTGCATCCCACTGCCTGACTCTGTCCTCAACTCCACTGACGGTGGCCTGGTTGGCTCCTGTGCACCCTGGCTCCTGGGTAAGGAAGAGGACCCTGCAGCAAGCATGAGGGCCAGAGAAGTAGGGGGCGTACCTATGTAGGGCACTCATTTGTAAAGCAAAGCAATGTAAATTTACTCAGATTCAGGCTCAGAATATCACGTCTGATTTTTAATTAATTACGAGGCTTGGACTATCTGGTCAGTTGCCTTATTTTTCACTGGAACCGTGTAGACTGTGGAAAGGTCACATCAGGCCATGGTTTTAGGAAAGGAATGATATACTTTAATTATGTGAAATGTGTTTCCCAAATGTCGAATACAATTAGCACTTGTGGAAACCATACCACTCAGAGGTCACGGTAATAGGAATCAGGACCGTGCAGGGCATGGAACCTGCAGTCAATGAAGCCCCTGCACACCGGAGTCAGAGGGCAGGTTCCTGGTCCTGGTTCTGCCCTTAACCACCTGAAGCGTAGCTCTTCTGTTCCTTAGGTTTTTGGTGCTAGAGCTGTCTACACTGGTGAGGTCCGAGCTTCAGGGCTGGGTGTTCTGAGGAGGTGGTACCCTTATTGGTCCGTTTGCTGTTACCAGAGACCAATGGGCTTGGAGAAATGAGTCACAAGTCAGCACCCCAAGCAGGGAGGGAGGCTGCAGTTAGGGAGCTGGGGCAGCATCTTAGGTGGGGGAGGGGGAGGGTTTTGTTTGGCAAACATTTTCTGAGCCCCCTCCCACCTGACACTGTGCTGGGACTGGAGAGTCCAGTCATAAATATGGTGTCGACTTTGCCCTCAAGGATGGAAGAGACTGAGGGAGAGAGTTGGGCAGGGGGCCGAGCCCACCCTCTGAACCTACACAAGCAGGTGGGTGGCAGGGTGGGGGCCGATTGGGGGGCTAACTGGCACGAGGTCTGTGGCCATACAAGAAAGAGGGCCCAGTGCTGCCAGACACTGACTTTTTGAAAGAAGCTGGAAGTCTGGTTTTTGATGTGCAATCTCCAATTTTAAAATGTTGGTAACGAATTTTAAAACAAAATTTAAAAAATCGTCGTGTCATCAAAACAAGGCACCTTTACTGGCTGCACAGGACTGGCAGACACTAGTTTTCAACCCCTCATGGTGGGAGTTACCTACCTTACTCTCCCGGAGGCCCCGGAGACTGGCACCAAGGGCAACTCTAATGGCATCTGGAGAACAATGACAAGGAGGAAATTTACTTAGTTGTTTTATTTAGAGATATCTATTTTTATTTTTTTCTTTTCTTTTTTTGCAAGGGATGCATAAAAAATCCATAGGGATGATAAGGAAACCAGGAAGTGGAGAAAAGATGGCAGGACTCTGGGACTCTGACCACTTCAAGGAAGGTTCTAGCCCAAGTCAGGCAGGACCCCAGAAATGCTCAGACGAAGGCAGCCCTGAGAACGGCTTGGAAGATGTGGCCATTGACCTCTCCAGCTCCGCCCGGCAGAAGACCAAGAGAGCATACCAGGGGGCCAGCTCCCAAGGATGCTCAGACTCCGAGGCGCTGGAGGGGCTCCTGCCCGGGAGGGTGGGGGCTCTCTGAGGCCCACAGGTCCACCCTCGAAGGCTGGAAATGGGTGCCTTCCTCCCTGGTATTGTTCAAGTTGTCTAAGATGAATCATCTCAGTTGGATTTTCTTCTTATAGTGTCAGGATAAAACGCAATGCCACTTGCTTAAAGAAGACAAACAGGTGACTTAGGGAAAATTCTATTTCACTCTAGAATGGAAACAAATCCTTAAACACACTTGAACCAATTAATTTGGTGTAAAATTTTGCTTCTCGTTTGTAGAACTCGAGGAGGGAGGATTTAAAGTCCGAAAAGCCTATTTACCGCTGGCGTCATGCGAGAGTGGGTTCAACACACTGTGCAGATTAATAGTTTAGGTCTGATTCGCACCCTGAATTTGAAACTATGGTTATTTAACCCCCAGAGAATCAGATGTCTTTATAAATAGTGAAGACCCCGCAGAGACATATTGAATGAATTATTATCTTTACCTTGAACTTAGCTTTGGATATTGCAGTTTCCTTGTTTGGCAACAATTTTGTGTTCTGCTGAGTGTCACTTGATAGGCTCTGCACAATGGAACTCAAACAAAGCAAGCCATACTTCCCTCCCTTCTGGGATAGCACGGGGCCACACTGCAACAGCTGCTGAGCGTGCAGAAACAGTGTTTGAAGGGCAGATGAGGCTTCTTGCTCTTTTAAAATTTCCGTCTGACAGCACTGTGGTGGCCGGGACTGCATGCATGTTTCCTTCCCTGTATTTCCTCTGCTGCTCATTTAACAATAAATGTCGTGTGCTGTGTTTGCTTCTCAAGGCACTCTTTCTGTTACACACATACACACCTGTCACCACTGAGCCCCTGACACGGGCTCCCCTCTCTCACTCCTTTTCAATCTCAGAACGTCTCAGGCTGTCATTCTTCAGCCTGCAGCTCTAATCATGTGTAGCTCTGTAAACGTCTATGGGGCAGCAGCCACGTCAAATTCACCCTCCAGAGTTCGGAGTCCGGAGAGAGCTTACATCTCATCGAGGGGGAAATGTGGACGTTCATGAAGAAGGCAGAGCAAAGAAGGAAAGCGGGGAAGCGCACTTTCGAGGCTTCCTCTGGAAATCAGCACGTCGTAAGGCTGGGCCTGTTCTCCCTTTCTCCAGATGAGAAAACAGAGGCTCCCTTCGTTTGGCCTCTTTTTCATCATCCTAGGCTAGTTCCATACTATTGTGAGAACTAAGTGTCACCTGTTCCTTACTGCAGAATCGGAAAACGAGGAGCCCTAGCTGCTTCTCTTCATTCTGGCCAGTAGGGATCATGGCTGCCGCCCGAGCCTGAACGGTGAAAGAGCAGGTGCTGGTGAAGAACTCTCAAGTCATGTTCTATCTGTCCTGTCTAGAGGCAGCAGACCAGGCTCAGAGCTACGCAGCCACACTTGTTCTGGACCGTCTTTGCCTACCAGCTGGCTCTCAGGTTCTCGCTTCCATCTCTCTGCCTTAGTTTATTCAGGGTTGAGTTTTGAGGAGGGAGCCAGTAACCTGTGCAACTTATATACATCACACTCATAAAATACAATAGTTTGCAGCCACTAAATAACAACAAAGCATATTTATTTATGTGGAATGATGTTCCTGAAATATTGTTGAGTGAAAAACCCCTAAATAAAAGGAAAAAAGAGACAAGTAGAAATAAACAAATATGTAAAGCAGAACAAAAATGAAATAAAGAAATTTAACTGGTTCTGCATAGAAAACATACAAATATTGGACAAATTTCTATGCAATATTATAAAGAAAAAGGAGAAAACAGGAAGAGGCAAAGAGAAAGGGACCAGAGCGAGTAACATAGACCGTTTTAAATGAGTCTGAAAATACTATTCACACCTGAAATGTAGATTAATACGTTTTAAAACCCTTCCACAAATGCATACATTTTCTGGAAAAATACGTATTACTAACATTGACTCCAGAATAAGCATGACATAGGAAAGATCAATAACCAAGAAAGTCATAAAACAATTATACCATAAACTGGCTCTAGACCCAGATGGCGCTCCACTAAATTCTAGAAGGTTTTCAAGGAAGACTTCATTTGTATGGTAAAGTTGTCCCGAACAGGACACGGGTGGAAACGGTTCTAATGTGAACATAACCCCGGTTCTAAAACCCAACAGAGATAGTGCAACCCCTCCCCACAAAACTCTCTACTTAGCTCCATTAATGGGAATGTGAAAGTCCTAAATAAAGTACTGATGTTTAGAATTCAATGGTATACTGAAAATGATCTTGGAGTACAGAAGGTCCCCAGGAATGCAGAGATAATTTAATTTTGTGAAAGGAAATTATTTATACATTTTATTAACAGCTCAAAGAGTTTATCTTAATAGATGTTGAAAAGTATTCAATAAATGCCTATTTCTTCAAACAAAAAACCTTAAAAAGTAGGAATAGAAAGATGCTTTCTTAACATAAGAGAACTTATTTCAAAACGGCATCTTAATATTTTATAATGTATATGTAGATACTTATGGATATATATATATGCACAGTTTCTGAGCTCTGTCACATTCTAGCTGTGTGACCTCGGATGAGTTACATAACCTCTCTGACCTCTCAGTTTTCTCAGTCATAAAATGGGGATAATAATGAAACACTCTCATTTTCCCGAAGATTAAATGAGAGGACACGAGTAATGTACTTAACGCAGTTTCTGGCATGGCAGAGAAAGAGCAAAATAAATACTGACTTTTTTTTTACTACTCTTACTGGCATTCCTATTAATATCAAGACTCAAATAAGAATACTTACTATCATCATTATTAAACAATCTGGGATCCACCAAGTGAATCTTGGAATAACAACTGGCTGGAACGCTCTCTGTAAACAACGTTTAAGAAGAGCTCCAGGAACACAGCAGACACCCCCCTAAGCGGGGCAGGTGTGTCAGCCGGGGGCGCTCCGTCCCAGGAGCTCAACAAGCTGTGCCCATGCAGGAGAACCGTTCACTGTCTCGTATGACTTGAATGTGAACACGGGGTCTGTCAGCGGCTCAGGCTCATCACCGGGAACCCGGGAAGCTTCCGTCCTTCCCGTCTGCCATTTTCAGCCTTTCCGCCTCAAGCTCGTCCTTGCAAGGGCGCAGGACGCCCCCGCAGACCGCCTCTCCCTCCTCATTGATCAGAACTGCGTGTCACGCTCAGGCCTAAACCAATCACCAGGCAAGGGGCCAGCGTTCTTTGTTTGGCTTAGACCAGTCAAAATTCACTTCTGGCGTCGTGCTGTGGTCCCGCCTCCTCCAAGAGTTGCCCTAAATCTAAATCTAATTGGGCTCCTTTAAGGGAAGAAGGCGAGCGATTGCTGACGAGCCAAGCAAGAGGCCGGCCACGGGCAGGATGCAGACTAGCGCGTGTTACATTAAAAGAGAAAAAAAGAAACCTGTGCGTAAAGACAAGAAAGCAGATGACAATCCTTTAAAATGTTCGTAGCATTTAGCTTTGGATCATGGATAAATGAATACTTTTTAAAAATATTTTCTAAGTTTTGTAAAATTAGTATGTAAAAGTAAAACAGCTATTATTCGTATTAATGAAGCAGTGATGCCTCTCTCTCAACTTAGGGTTAAGTTCACAGAGGATAAAAACTCTTTTGAAGGTACGGTGTGAAAACTTTTTATGATGAAGAGTCCATGCTTTGCCTGCGTCTCCGGTCTGGTTCTCACAAGGGCCAATTTGATAAAGAGGAAAGGACCAGGCGTTTTCCACGTGGTCCTATTAAATCCTTGCTCAAATCATGCAACAGGTCAAACTGGAATCTGACCACAGACTGACAGCAGGACTGAATTATTTCCAGCTTTCAAAACTGTTGGCCAGCTGAAATGTGGCTGTAAAAGTTCAAAAGGAGATTAAAAAAAATTACAGTTTTAGCAAGGCCAATTTGGGAGGAGTCCTAATATGAACCAGGGTCGCACATCCAGCTGTCAGTAACAGGAGCCGGCCGTCAGTCCTGGAAAACACTTGCGAATTCAGGAGATGTTTCAGAACTGACAGAAAAACAGGCTATGGAGATCAACATTGTTTGCTTAGGTTTAGCAATATAAATACAATAAACTAAAACTCTGTTGTTCCCGGGACTCTACAAATTGTGTCCATATTTATTGTCTTTTTCAATTCTTCCAGCAGATGAGAAACTGGGCTGCAGAGAAATTAAGCCAACTTGCTAAGCTGATTCTCACATTTATAAGACTCAGAGTCAGGAAAGCTAAAACACCCTCGAAGATCAAGGTGGAGGGCCTGCTGTACCACATATCGATACTTTGATAAAGCTGTGATGATTACATCTGTATAGTTTTGGCTTGGAGGAGGCAGACAGATCAGTGCATCAGAATAAAGAGCAGGAATCCCACACACGTGTGGGTACAGAGGTTGGCCACCAAGGAAAGGGTTGACTTTTTGATGTTATTGGGACAATTACCTGTGTATATGGGGGAAATTGACATTGAACCTTGACTTCACACTTTACAGGAAAACACTTCTGGGTGGATCAGACATAAATGTGAAAGGCAAAACTATAAAGCTTGTAGATATTTGAGTTTAGAAGATGCTTTGGTTATCCCAAATTTGTGGCTTGAAACAATCATTTTATTTTGTTTGCAATTTTTTCAGCTAGGTTCATCAAGCCAGAGCACCTCGTTTCTTTATGTCTATCTACACATTATACATTTCTATATATTTTATAATTTTATAAATATATTTTATATATTTCTATATTTTTCTGAACCATTTGCAAGGAAGTTGCTTACATAATCTGCTCCTTTATCTTTTTTTCCCAGCCTTATTGAGACATAAACCACTGTGTACGTTTAAGGTGTACAAAGTGGTGATTTGATAAACGTATATGTCTTGAAATGTTACCACAATAAGGTTAGTTAACACATCCTTCACCTCACGGAATTACCATTTTGTTGTTGTTGTTGTGGTGAGAATATTAAAGCTCTGTTCTCATAGCAACTTTCAAGTGTTACAGCACGGTATTGGTAACTGGAGTCACCGTGCTGTACCTTGGATCCCAATAACTTACTCCTCTTATAGCTAAAAGTTTGTCCCCTTTGACCAACATCTCCCCATCTCCCCCACCCCTCAGCCCCTGGCAACCACCATCTGCTCTCCGTTTCTGTGAGTGTGATGTTTTCAGATTCCACAGGTAAGTGAGATCATACAGCATTTGTTTTTCTCTGTCTGGCTTATTTAACTCAGCATAATGCGCTCAAGGTCCATCCAGGTGGTTGCAAATGGCAGGATTTTCTCCTCCTTTTATGAGTGAATAATATTCCTGTGTATGTGTGTGTACACGTGCACGCACGTGTGTACGTCACCTTTTCTTCATCCATTCATCTGCTGTGGACGCTTAGGTCGTCTCCCTGTCTTGGCTGTTGTGAATAATGCTGCAGTGAACGTGGGGTGCAGATGTCTCCTCAAGACAGTGATTTCACCTCCTGCAGATGGATGCCCAGAAGTGGGGTTGCTGGATCAGATGGTAGTTCTATTTTTAACTTTTTGAGGAACTTCCATGCTGTTTTCCATAGTCGCTGTATCTGCCTCTTTATATCTTAATACTGTGTGTATTTCCTAAGAATAAGGACATCTTGTTACATAACCTGAGTAGTTATCAACTTCAGAAAATCTGAATCAATACTTTAATTTAAATCTGAGTACCATATTCTAAACCTGAATAGAATACGGTATTCTAAATTGGAATACTATACTTTTATCTAATACAATATGGTATCAATCAGGTACAATATCTAATACTGAATTAAATACAGTATTCTAACCTGAATGTAACACTTTCATCTAATAAAACACTGTATTGACTACAACATTCTAAAAGTGAAAACAATACAGAATTCTAAATCTGAATAAAAGACTCTTTATCTAATCCACCATTTACATTCCAATTTTGCCAACTGACTCAATAATGTTCTTTACTGCAATTTTCTTTTTCCACACAGGATCCAGTCTAGAGTCACATATTGCATTTCTAGAAGCACACTTTGCTTCAATGTAGAACATTCCTCAACCTTTGTCTTTCCTGACACTGACATTTTTGAAGAACACACATCAATTATTTTATAAAATTCCCCCTCAAATTGGGTGTGCCTAGTGTATCTTCATGATTAGATTTCAGGTTATACTTTTTTTTTTTTTTTTTTTTGCTAAAGAAGATTTGCCCGGAGCTAACATCCATTGCCAGTCCTCTTCTTTTTTTGCTTTAGGAAGATTAGCCCTGAGCTAACATCTGTGCCAATATTTCTCTATTTTTTGGATGTGGGACACTGCCACAGCATGGCTGATGAGTGGAGTAGGTCTGCACCCAGGATCTGAACCTGTGAACCTGAGCCACCAGTGCAGAGTGTGCAGAACTTTAACCACTTGGCCATAGGGCCAGCCCTAGGTTATACATTTTTGGTGGGAATACCACTGAAGTGAGCAGCTAAAAGGATGAAAAGGTTGACTCTGCGTGGAGAGGCTGGGGTGGGAGACAGGAGGGCAGGGGCTCCTATTATCTGCTGTACATCCTCCTGTGTTATTTGAGTTTTTAATGGGGACATATCATTATTTGATACAATTTTTTAAAAAAATGGATGCCTTGTTGGAAGGCACATATTTTGGAAGTAAGCAGGCATGCTAGTTGTGTTCCAAATCCTTTGAGTAGGCCAAAGGGGTTGCCAAGGCTGTGCATGATTGGGGACGGAATTCTGTCTGTCCAGGAGAGTGTCTCTCTCCTGTATTCTGGTGCTCACAAGCTCTTCCAGCAGGTGGCTAGGGATCCGCGTTGTCAGTGCTCTGAGGGTTGAGAGACCTGGTCTTCTTTCTGCTCTGTGTTTCCATGTTGCTGAGCT